TTTTTTTTTTCATCAAAATTTTATAGGGTTTTGTTTAACTTATGCTATAAAGTTCACTGTTGCACAGCTGGTTGGGGGAAAAAAACCATAATCATAATCTTTCCTTACAAGTAGAAGAAACACTGAAATGTCAAATCAATACCACTATCCAACAGCAATTTTTTAAAAAAGTGCCTCGTGTGTGTTTTTGTGTATTTTCGTCCAGATATTCCATTGACAGGAACACGGACTTGGAGCGCTTCTTTAATGTGGATGCTCTGAGTGGGGTCATCAGCACAGCCAAGCCTCTGGACCGGGAAGCCAACTCAGTCCACAACCTCACCATCTTTGCCATCGAGAGCAGTAAGTTTACTCGCTTGCGCGGCAAACACTGGCGGTAAACCTGACGCGGCGGTCAGAGTTGGCCGTACACTAAACCCCTCCAGTGGGCGGCGGTTTGTCCAATCGCAGACGGGCGGCCGTATGGAAGCGCAGAAAACCTCGCAAACTTTGGTTTTTCCTCTGCGTGTCGAAGTTCACCGGGCCGGCTGTAGGAGTTAGTTTATTGTTCTTTTAGGAATGTAGCCACGGCCGAAAATATTTAACAGTGAAGCGCTGCACAACTGCAACAATCAGGACGACAAATTTATAATTAGTAATGATTGTTTTGTATGTAGCAGCTGCTGTACCAGAATACCCCCCTAGTGAAAAAAGATTATGACTAGCATTACAAACCTTACAAGATTAAATTAAAGTGTTACTTATGATGTGATTGTACATAAATTATTTACATATTAAGGGTTAGATGCTTCAAAAATGATATGAAACACTACTTTACTTACTACTTGTAATACATATCAACCCTACAATGTTATTAATGATTATGGAGAATAGCCTGACTAATGTGACAATAGGGCATCGCTGAATTTAAACTAACTAATACAAATATTGCTGCTACACATGTGAGCAACTGATGCACACCTTGTACCACCTAGATTTGTTTACCAGAGCTGTAATGGAGGGAATGAAGGATCTCTGGCCACATGAAGTTCTCCTCTACCTCCATCCTGATGGCGACTCGTATCAACCAAAGAGAATTTGTGATTGGCTCCATCGAAAAAGTTTGGCGTTGTAGTCGCTCCAAATGCAAAAACACACAAGCAAAAGTGTGAGGAATGAATTTAAATGTTGAATTTTAGATCAATGCTAGCAGCTCTTTATTAAACTTAAAGGTGGAGTCTGCAATTTCGGAGAAATATTGCTTATATTTAACATTAGCGTACGTAAATAGGAAGCATTATGTTACACTAGATTAGATGCAGCCTGATTGTCGTGGCACAGAGAGGACTGTGCAGTTTAGCATTGAATCAGAAGTGCAGAAGTACGGTATGTTATTAACAGTATGGCATGCACAGTATAAACAGATGAATTGTTTAGACACATTGTGACAACACTATGAACACACTAGTATATGAATAAACAGATGTGGACACAATATACAATACAGGTGGAGGTAAATAGTGGTATGACAAGTATAAATAGCATAAACAGTAAGAACAGTAACAATAGTGTAAACAGTGTTAATGCTGTGAGATACATACAGTAGAAACGCAGGATGGAGCGTATATACAGTGTGAACACTATAAACATGTGTCAGATTTACCTTCATCCTGCCCTCCCTCCTCCTTCCTTTACCCTGATCTCAAGCACAACCATGAACGTTCACAAAACTGACTGAAATAATGTTTGCTTTCCATTTAAAGTGATTTGAGGTGTTGCGTATGAACACCTTTTCCACCTTTAACACTCCTCAACCAACATAACCTGAGACTACATTTTTATATACGCAGTCCTTCAAACTCTTTCTCCAGCTGAACCCAGCCAGAGAGGATCATGTCAGGGTGACGAGATGTTTCCTTTTCACACTCTGTGATACGAGCCCTAATGAATGAATGCAAAGAAACATCTTCACATGGACCATTTAGTCGACTCATAAAATACAAGCGTCTTCTAGAATCAGACTTTGGAAATACTAAAACAGCAAAGTAATATTAACTATGATTTCATCAAAATGCAGCAAACTGAAGCAGATTCGAGAACAAAGACATTGATTTTGAGTTGGAAATCCACATCTCAACACTGATTTCTACACTCTTTGGGTCTCACTTCCAGGCACGTCACCTGTTTCTGTGAATTTTATTTCATTATCTGTTAGTTATTACATAAACACAACCTCATAGCTGGCAAAATTTCATTCTAACCTTTTCAAAACACAACCTTGACTTAGTTAGTAAATAAAAACAGGGCGCTTTAGGCCTTTAATAAATACTTTACCAGCTTGTATTAGTCATTCGATCCTCATAACTGGTCAGTTCCAGTTTTCAGTCATTAGTATTGGATACTAGAGTTTTCTGCTGACTGACATTTTATAGACACAGTTCCACATCTTTTATATGAAGTGTATTTTTTTGCCTAATTTCACAGATCTGGATGGAATTTCTATCCTGATGTTGGCCGCGAGGCTGATTTTGCAGATTCAGTGTTTGGTTTCAATTACACAACAGCAGTTTGTCTGTGAGATCCTTAGATTTCTCCCCAAACCGCATTCACATCTAGCCACAAAAGACCCTAACGAACCCCTTTGTGGCAGGGGGAGCACTAACGACTCACATAACGAGGGTGAGGAGCAACAAACCCCCAACTGAAACTGAAACTCAGGTGTTAATGGCTCCTTAGGTTATAAGTATCTGGATCTCCCAACTAGTCAGTCAGAACTGATGAAGCCTCTTGGATGAGAGGTGGAACGTCTTCAAAGATCTCAAACAAGTCCAGTTGCTACGATTAATCTACCAGAACAACAGCAGTTAGCTCGATGCAGTGTGTCACATGTTTTTAGTAGCACAAGTTTGAAAACATGACGTCAATCTAAATGTCACCGTTCTGTCATCATGTCAGTGACAGTACACATACCTCTGACTTCCAAGACTTTTTTATGCAGGTAGAATAGATTATTTTACTAATAAAATGAATGATTAATGAAGGTTGTGTTGCATTTAGGTACAAAACCTTAATTAACGTCATTCGCAGCACTTTTGTTCACCTGTTATTTCACTCCAATTCACACACGCTAATAAACTGTGTTTGGAGAAAAGCCCGTGATTGGTCCACTGGGCTCATTTATCGCTCATTGTCGCCTCTTCCTGGCTGCTGATTGGTCGACTAAACGTGCTGCAGCCTTCACGATGAGCACATTCAGCCCAGATAGAAACATCAGGGACTCTCCTCAAAGGAAAAGAGTGATGTGGTTGATGGCATCTTTTTCGATTAAAAGAAAGAGAGAAAAAAAGGCTGCTAAATGCATCCCACAAAATCTCCCAGGAAAATCAAAACCGTTGGCAGCATGATGTACGCTCCAAAAATGAACAGCGATGTTTCTGCATTTCCACATCCCAAACAGGATCTGCCAACTATAAATGTTGTGCCTTTTACCACAATATAGGCACATATTTATTACCTCTTTTGCAAGATAATTGTTTTAAAACAAGCCTGTTTTCAATTAACTCGTGGAACTAATGGTAGTTTATTTACCTACCTAACTATTAAATATACTCCAGATAGCTGTAATTTTAAAAATGGACAGCTTTTATTTACCTCCGTTTGAAATGAAGGCCTTATTGCAGGGTTTCTTCAGCAGAGGGGGGTTTTTGGTGCAGCCCAAAATGACCACTGATGAATCTATTTGTCATGTATATACACTTATTTTTAAATCAGATTAGCTAACTGGAGTTTCATTTCCTCGGACATAATAGACGTTATTGCTCAGAAACAAGAGGAAAACAGATAGATTTCGGTCAAATAAGGTAACACAGACTCATTACTGTACCCAGACTGGTCATGGTGTGCGTAGTCACCCCCCAAAGGCCCGTTCTGAGCCTGGAAAACTCTGTATTGTTTCAAAAAATCTGCCGCCGGGGCTTAGCAAACTGTCAGTTAGCTTGTTAGTGTCACCAAGACGGAGTACACGGAAACCGTGGAGCCTCTCCGTCCTGTTATCCACTTCATAACGTCCCACAGTCTCCCGCGCCGTGGACGACGCAGCGTGGAGTTGTCGGGGCTCGTTGCAGGGCTGTCGGGGAATGTTAATTCACACGCAGGACGGTCGTTTTGACCTCCACGTCTCCCTGAGCCGTGGGGACGAGATGCTGACTAAGGGCGGGCGATCTCACCCACGGGTGAACAATGTTAATGCGATGTGAAGAAGTGCCGCGTGCCTTTTTTTTGTTCATCTGTCAATGGCTCCAAGGACATGAACACCTTTTTTTTTTTTTTTTTTTTGCATTCCTATCATTTTGCTGCCATCGCGCAAACACAATGGGCGGCAATCATCAGCGCGCTGAGCACTCGAGACGGTTGAAAGAGACAACCAGCCTTGCACTTCCTATGCAGTCACATTTTCATGAAAAAAAAAAAAAGAAAGGGGGGGTATTACATTTTTTTTCCTCACTTCCAAACCCCTTTTTTTTGCTTCAAAGATGTGTTTTTATTTACATCTAAAAAGCGCACAGATGCACTACCGGGTTGATTCCCGAGTGCGAGCGCTCGCCTGATATAGCAACAAAGAGAAGGCTGCGTATAATAATAGCCGTATGAAATGTCACAACAGTCCCTCCTGCGTGAGGTACTGGCTTCTGACACGGAGTGACACTCGGGCGCTGTTTTCAGCTCGAGACATCTCCGAGTTCACAAGACTGGCAACGAAAATCCACTGGCCTGCACTGCCTTATGACAGTATTTATAGTAAATGGCTTCCTTGTAACCGGAGAGGGTGCGGGGAGGGGGGGGGGGGGGCATTTTTTGGTTGAGGGATGTTGTGCATTTCAGCTGCAGTCACTCACATTTCATCCGCTCTGCCCGGACCACGCCAATGACAACAAGTCTGTGGCCCGAGGCTCCGCGCGTCCTTTTTATCGCCATCAAATCAGCCGGCCCCCGAATGTCAGAGCGTCATCTCTGGCCGGCATTGTGGCGACGCCAGGCTAAATCATCGTCTTGCACTCACGCACCAGTTTAGCCATCAGTGTGTGTCACGCAGACGGAGGCGCGAAGCCCTCCCCCTCCACCACCACCACCACAACCACACGTGAAACATTCGGCCTTTTTCCTCCCCGACAACAACAAACCCCCGCGCCGAGTCTAATCATTCTGGCTGATCCACAGCAGAGCGGGTAAGGACGCCAGCTGTTGGAAGCACACTGCATATTTCATTACAGCAGCACTTTTTTTTTTCTTCCTTTCCCCCCCTCCCCCCCTCCCCCCCTCCCTTCAACTCCTTTGTGATTAATTAAAACACATGAGAAAGATCAATATTCCATAATTTGGCCGAGTGCATCAACGTGAAGTTAAGGCAGAATGAAAGTGTTTGGAAGAAAGTTTTTTTTTTTCGCTGAAATCTGTGGCTCTCTTCTCTCTTCTCTCTTTTTCAGAGGATCCGATGGAAATTGGCAAAGGCATCGCTCTCATCACAGTGCAGGACATAAACGATAACGCGCCCGTGTTTGCCATAGACTATGAAACTCTCCTCTGCGAAAATGCCATGCCAGGACAGGTAAGCCCCGGGAGCGTCTCAGCGGTTGGTCCGGCTTCCCTTTTTTTTTTTCCCCCCTTTTTACCTCTCCCCTCTGCATCTTCTTTGGAAGTTTGACTCTCAAAGACAGTGTGCTGACTCTCAAAGCCATTAAAACTCCCCGTTGCTCCTCAAAACAAGTCCGCCGCGCCACATACAACATCCACTTCACGGCTCGAGGTCATCCCGGGGAGACGGCATCATTAGTATGAGACACATCCGTGAGATTTAATAGCAGGTATTGTAGGTGTTATCGTTCATTAGAGATGTTACTCTCATTCCATACTGTCAAATCCGACTAAATTAATGGCGGCGCTTGACTCCGCCCGGGGTCTCAAATCCACAATAATATCACAGCCTAATGCGATATCTCGTGCTGGGATGGAGTGGTGTTCTGCAGCGGTTTGACTTTCCGTTCCGAAGCCCTATGTAATTAGATGATCACCGCGGAAGGCAGCGGGGCAGACGATGCATCACAATATCATGTGAAGGTAACCAGGGGGATTTCAGGGGCTCGGAGATTTGGTTCAGGAAGAGAAGGAGGAGGCGGCGGTGGCGGCGGCGGTGGGGGGAAGAAAGAGGCTGTACCCGTGCATTGCATTTTCCCTGCGTTTAGCATTTGGCCTCATTGTTGCTAAATGACTTGTGTGTCTGTGGCGGCGATTCGTCTGCTCTTGGCATTTGGAAAATACAATCAGAGGCGAACGGTAAAGGAGGCGTGTAGACCTGAATAAGTACAATTGATCAGAATGATGCATTGTATTGGAAATAGCTATTAGGCCCTTTTAAATATGTTATTTGCATTCATATTTTGGAGCCGTTTGTCACGGCGCTCATGGGAGGGTGAACAAAAATAGCAAATGATTTCATTTGCAAAAATGAGAGACTATATTTCATGTGTGTATTTGTTGCCTTTTTTCTTTTCTTTTTTTCGCTGCGTGCATGATGCTTGACCGCAATGTGGCTCTTTTCCCAATGAGCTCACAAAGCCTTACAGGTATTCTGGATTTGTTGCTGCTTTGACTTTTTGAGGTATTTTTATGTTTGTCTCATTTGTTTTTTTTTAAACCTACAACCAACCCAGCGAGTTTCAACGCAGACGATTCAGGATAGCTGGAGGTATTTTAGGATATTAGTGAATTTAAATGTAATTTGTCATATTTCATCCTCAGGGCATAGTGTTTGCTAGAGTGAACACTACCTCTATATTAGTTGCCATCATTATTGAAGAATGCATTCTACTGGAGCCCGAATGTCTATTTTTGGTTAATGATCCCGCCACTTATCCTCAGACGACTGTTGTTGCTCCCCGATATTAAATTTAGAGCAAACACAAGCCAACTATCTATCAATACTTCAACTTTCAAATTCAGCAGATAATAATTTGTACACTTCTTCCCACCAGCGCCTGATAAATTATGGCGCGGAGACTCGAAACAAAGTCATTCCCCAACAATCATACCGGCCTGCAGGACATAGCAACAGCCATTGCCCATGACAGCATCATCAGCAGGAAAAGGTGCAGCAGATCTGTAATTACTCAGCTGAAGCAGACAGATTGCTTACTCAATGCCAGTGATAGCAGAGCTGCGAGGTCCCCCCGAGGTGTTGCTCCGAGCTGCTCTGCTGTAAAATAAAAAAAAAAGGCGAGGTGCTGCTGGTGACGGAGGCCTCTGTCCTCCCTCCATTTGTCCGTCCGTCCACATTCAAATTCCGCCCGTGTTGTCTTAAAGCGGTGTAGTCGAAATGAGCCGCCATAGCTGGGAGCCGGTTTAATAGTCGAGACACTCCCGACATATAAACTAGCGTGAACGTGTGATGGTTGTGTGTTGGAAAGCCTTTGTTTTCACTCAACTACCATGAAATGTTTCAAGGACTTTCTGAATGATTGAGGTGATGAAAGTGGACGCGTGCTTCCTCGTTTTAGCCAAAGGCTTGTAGGTAGTTGTTGGGTTGGCTAGCTAGATGGCGAGTTGGCTTTTATCACCTGTAAAGGCCAGAGATGAGATGAGATGAGATGAGATGAGATGAGATGAGATGAGATGAGATGAGATGAGATGAGATAAGATAAGGTACAACTGTATTAATCCCGAAGGAAAGACCTGGGCCAGATCTTGAACAATGATGCAACATAAGAAAAGTAGCGCCTAAAAGTACAAAGCAATAAAATATAAATATCATACATTACTGGAATAGAAAACGTAAGCTAAAATAAGGCTAGAATAGGCAGTTATACCATAGTAATAAGTAATATTACACGTGATAATGAAACTGAAAGTAAAGTGAAATATTGCACATGTGATCAAAAAGTCACAAATGAAAATGAAATAGTAGACATGACACTGAAATATTACACCTAAATTAAATGTGACACCTGATACGGAAACTAATACCACACAAACCAATAAGGAGTAATATTGCAAAAAATTATATTATTGTCCGATGTTTTAGCTGATAACTGAACGATCCATAATTTACAAAACACATGAAGAAGGAAATCGGTTTGCAAAATACAAGTTTAAAGGAGTCTGGATTCCATTTTATCATCATTTCACCGACATTTTTGACTTTTAGTGACAATGAAGAACCAAAAAAACCCACATTTTCTCTAATATGTTTATTCTGTCACATGTGAAATGTCTAAAACAGACATTTGTGTACACAGAAAGTCGTCATATTTGAAAAGATAACTACATGAAACTCTTGTTTTGCATAAAATCTTGTTTTCGCCTGTGAAAAATCAAGAAAAGAAATGAATGTCCGTGTCATGCAGAGCTGTGACATGTTGTTACCTAAGAAAAAAAAAAATCATTAGAAAGTCAGTGAGAGCTACTAGGTGCAAAACTGGAATATGCATTTGGTACTCGAGCTGACATTTCAAACAGCCTTTTGATTTCCACGACATGTTAAGATACAAAAGAGAGCACAGAAGTGAACTTTGCCTTTCAGCTGTATAATATGATTTTGTGCCCACACATATATATATTCTCTCATGTCTAAAAACAATACATGCGTCCACATTAGGTTTTCAAATGAGTTGTACATGTACATAGAACTGTTTCTGCGTGTGAATCCTTATACTTGTGAAACTCTCATACGAATATGTAACACAGAGTTCAACATATGATGTGAGAACTTTCATATCAGTTGTGTTTTGGTTTTTGTGGTCGTGGTTCAACCGCTTGTGAACTAGTTTACCACGAGGTTCCTTACATTTCACCTCACGTGTTCCACATTCTATGAATCTGGATGAGCGACATGCCTTTCATCCTCGTCCTATTGTTAGACCGAACGACCGCCACAGACAAGAAGTGCTTGTTTTCATTTTATATTTGTCTCTAATTCCAATTTCTACTCGATCCTATTCAAACATAGCCTTCTGTTGGGCAACACTGAAGTGTACCAGTGGGATTGCACCTTCAGACTGAATAATGAAGGCAGGCAAAATGGAAATTTCATGATGAAATTTACACCCAAAAAACACATACAGAGCAAAGGGAAGGAGAGAGTTTGACATTTGAATGCGAAAACGCAGTTTGAATTCCAACTAGGTGTCGGCTGTCTGTTACCAGACAGACGGGGTGGACTCATAACCTGTCAGATACTCGCTCCACCGCCGCCCTGATTCCTAATTAATTAAAATGCTCCTGTTGTGTACTGTATGTCCGGCTGTAGCAGCGAACAGTTGGCTGCACCGACTGCGCCTGCTTTCCTGTAAAGCTTTGTTAAAAAAATCTTAGGCCGCCCACTGGCTGTCACGCCCATCGGCTTATTCACAGCTGCGACAAAGATGAAATAATAACATTTGCCAGTTGGGGCCGGGGTCGACTCTGTGGCTCTATAGCACAGATTAACAGGGAGAGCCGGGATGGAATAACCTGCCATTTTTCAGGCCTAATTAAGGCCGTCTCGTGGCACTGGCTCTCTCCAGAGATGCCACTTGTTACGGATCATCGGTGCGTCTGTCTTCTGCCATAATATTAATTGATATTATGAAGGGGTGGAAGGGGCAGGGGCAGTGGGGATAGTGTGGAGAGGGAACGACGGGGGGGTCATGTCGTACAATCACTTCAGTGTAACCATTACATACATGAGTGGACTTGGCATTCTGCTGCCCCCCCCCAATCTGCTCCCTGCACTCCGGTGGCATCTCCCAGGGGGGATTCGTGAACGTCGGGGAGTCGTGAACGGAGGAAGAGCCTCGCAAGAGACAGCGACACCCTCTAAAAGCAGCTGGTTTTAGCGCTGCTTGTTATCGTTTGACTCCTTCGTTAAACAGTGGAGGTGCTGATGGCTGAGCCGGATCGAGGTGCAAAACCCTGATTGCTGCTAATTTGCGTCCAAGTCGCGAGTCAGTCAAATCTGATAGGTTGCACGCAGGAATTGATGACACGCTTCTAGTGGTGTTAAAATAAAAATATGGAAATATAGGGCCCAATTTGCAGCCCACACTGAACTGAGTTACTCTATGGCAGCAGCACTTCTCGTTTCCATTATGTGCACTATAAAATGTATGTTAGATTATCTCCTTAATAGTCATAAGAGTTTCGCTACACAGAAATGTAAATATATTTTGGCGCTGCTTGGCCTCAGATGATCCAATTCTCTTATCTTTCTGGAACTCTCATAATCCATTCATGTACAGATAATCGAGGCCTGTTGTGGAAATGACGCTAAGCTCCCAAATATATGTCGGGGAGAAAAACCCAATCATCCTTAAACACAAATGCGCTGCTGGATTGTTGGTAAATTTGATATTATGTACAATATGGAGAGTAAAAGCAGATCATTGCCATTGCTTATTTATAACATGATAATGAACACAAACTCTTTGTAAAACTCGTACGGTTTTCTACACGATGTAAACATTCGTCAGACAGAACTGCTTTTCAAAGACGAGACAAAAGCATCTCGATCGCCTGTCGTCTCGCCTACATGTAATAAGTTGACTGCGGACAGTAGACTGAACCTCCAACCCTGAT